TGGTGAACATCAATTAAACCTTCCCAGCATACTGAGGTAAAGTAATTAAAACTAACCCCCTGCTTGGGACATTTAAAATTAAAATAATTTAGAAATTGTTCTAAAGGGTTTAAAACTACAACACAGAAAACTTTTTTTTTGAGTTTACTGCATGTTTCTGTACCTGGTTTTTAGAGTAGGCTTAGCTATGCAAGCCAGAGACATGCTCGGAGTCAGTGAGTGCAGGTTCCTAAATCACCGGCCACTATCATTTTCCAGAACAGCTCTCTGTCCTCAGACTTCTGTCTGTAGCAGAATAGCTGGCTAATTACTAAGTGGAAAAATTTGGTCTCGATCCTCACCCAAGCCCAGGTGAGTGCAGAGAATAGATCAGCTTGCTTTGTAGGAGCACATCAGGTGCCAGCATCTTAACAGAATGGGTCCTTAGTCTTTGTCCTTCAATAGCCTGGCTTAAGAGCATGGGCAATATCTTTTACTAAAGAAAAGAAGTGCTTAGACCGTATGGTTGTGGGAGCTTTTAAGAGTGTGAGTGAGATCATCAGCTGTGCAAAGTGTGTGCCAGGCTGCCTAAGGAAATACTTTCTCAAGCTGCTCTCCTTAGAGGTCCAAAGCTGCTAATAGCATTGTACCAGCTGTGTCCCTGGTTCTGAGAAAAACCTGCCATGCCTCAACTCAATTTATACAGCCAGCATAAACCTTTAATAGCAACTGTAACACCTGCTCTGTCCTCTTTGGAATGTTTCTGGATACATCTCATGTACAGATCGTGCCTGCAAGGTTGGCGGTCAACTGTTGTATTAGGTGCCTTAAAACAAGTGTGCATTATCCTTAATTCTCTATTAAATTCTGCAAAACCAGTCATGTAGAAAATGGTTAGCCTGGAGCACAAGGGATGGAAGCAAAGGGCTTTTAATCTAGATGGGTTATATTAATATTTAGATAATAATATGGTTTTGAAGACCAGGAGGAGTTTTTCTCCTTTCTAAAGATGTCATTGTCTTATGTTTGGCTTTGCCTGAAGAACATATTAGAGGAGCAGGGACCTGCTGGTGAACTGGGAGTGGTCTCTTGGTGGTTTGCAGGTAAGAGCTTACTCCAGAATTTGCAGTGGCAATGCAGTGGGTCCTAGTCCAACCAGCTACTTCAGATTCTTTGTCACATTAACCACAAAATCATTTAAAAAAAACAACAGTAAAAATCTCCTTTGGGTTGGGAGTTTTTTCAGCTGCTTTCAGTGGGCTGCGTTTGTGGCTGGTTTCCCTGAATGAGCAGTGATCTGCATGTATCTTGCAGCTTTCACAGTTCCCTGGCTATTGAATCATCAAGGCCTGGATGACCTAATTGCACCAAAGGCCCTTGTAAGCAGGGCTCTCTCCTCTTTTTGTCTTTCTTATTATGCGTCTTGTGTTATTGTCTAGAGAAAAATGCTTGGTGGTCTTGTGCTGATGACTTCGGTGAGTACTGCCTAATTCTGGACAGCTGGTCCAGCTTTGAGTAGGATTGGCCCTTATGTAGAATTTAGTGCTTTAAGATAAGGTGTTCCCAATAAACTTAGGTCAGCCTGTGCAAAAGGCTTTGTGCAAGTTCCTGCTGTTACTTGCAGCAGATCTTATTTTCTGTTTTCTACAGTCACATAGGAACAGATTTCTGACACACTGAATCGAGCTGTTTAAATCGGTCTATATATAAAGAGGCTTTGTGTTGACTTCAAGGGGCATTTTAATTGCACTGGTCATACTTCATCGGGCAGAACCCGGGAAGTCTCATTCCAACACGAATCTGTCCAGGAGATGGCAGCATTGATGCATGCAAGGAGTAGCCAAAAGTTAAAACACTTTTTTCCCCAGAGCTGACAGAGGAAAAATTACCTTCATTTAATTGGAAGATATACTGTCTTAGCAATACGCAGATAAATGTTAATAAAATAGACCTATTTTTAGCTTTTTTAGCTCACTGGCAAGTCAGTAAGTTAAAAATGCACTTAGGTTTGCATCTAAATACTGGATTTACCCTTTGACCTGGTAATGATTTAACATAAGGATTTTGAAATCCAGTGCTCTTTTGTTCAATAATGGTTATAGTAATAAAAGGCTAGAAAGATAATAGGTGCTAATATTGTCATTTCTGCATACCTGCTCTGTAAACTAATAATAGCTTTGCTTGTAGCTGTAAAATCAGGTTTTGTTAAAGCTTAAATCTAAATATCCTTGAGCCTTATGTTTCAGTGTTATCGTCTTTCTGCTGTATGGTATGTATACACGTGCATTGATATGGGGGGGAGAGTCTGAAAACTGGAAAATGGTATTACCTGACCTCGTAAATAAGGAGCTTATAGGGCAGCATCTGTTTTTCCCCTGAACTTGGTCTGTGGGATCTTGATTCTGTCTTTCAGCTTCTGTCAAAAGATGGGAGTAATTCTGGGTTCCAGAGCTTGTTTGGAAAGATGAGCATGGCCCCTATCAACAGGGTGCTGTTGTCTGATACGTTAATGTTGGCCAAGGTAGCTGAGGGTCCACTGCTGTACTTCTCCGTGGCTGGCTATGCAGATGTTTGACAATTTGTCACAGGGTCATCCCCAGAATTGGTAGGATGCACCAGGAATGGTTTGGCAGCCTGTATTGTGCTCTTCTGTGGCAAGCAACTGGCTACATCTATGTGAACAGCCAGGAGATTAAAAAGCAATTTCTTCCTGGGATCTTGGTGATTAGGGAGGTGAATGGGCTCCCAGTGTGCGAGGTCACGTTATAGTGTCTCACGTGTATTTATCTAGTGGTCGGTGAAGGTAACATCATATACATGGACAGTTGCTGCAGAGCAGCCACACAATTATATCTTTCACCCTTGCTTGTGCAATTTGCTTATAGCTTTGAGATCTGAAAATTTAAGTATGAATTCTCTTGGTGCAGCATTAGCATGCTGGTGCTGCTTGAACATATTTAGCTAAGAAAGCAAACTGTTGAGGTCTGTGATGTGTTCTTTTAACTTTGACAGTGTTACCTGGAAGGCGCTTCAATGATTGAGATCTGAGCATAGTAGATGTGAGATTTTTCTGCACCCAGGTTGCTACTTTTTTGTTAACCTTGTGGGCTAATATACATATAAACTTAATCTTGCATAATTCCCTTTAGAGACCTGTGTTTGACATCAGAAGACTTGCTTGTATTGTTAGTGATAGTAAGGTACACACGTAGGAAAAATCAGGTGAAGTTGTAAGTTCAGGTGCTCAGCGAAAATGTCACGGTTCAGTCAGATGTTGGCAGTTGCAGCTTGTGGTTTTTGGTTTTTTTTTTTCAGTACCAGAAGTGTCCTATGGAGCCAATCTGACAGTGCAGCCTGGGTGACACGAGCCTTTATTTCCTTTCATAACAGCACAGTGTAATCACTGTTTTTGTTCTTGTGCAGCCACAGGCTCCCTTGTAAGCGCAAATTCAAATGGGAGAAACATCAAAGTTAATTGGAAATGAAATGCACCCCAAGTTGTCTGGGGGAAATGGAGACGTTACTTTGTAGCCACCCTTCTCCTGCCAAAACTGCAGCACCCCAGATGTCAGGAAGCCACCCTGGGCTCTTTGTCTGGTCTTGATTGACTAGATTGTTTTCATCCGAACCTTTTTAAAGCTTTCCTTCTGCTTCCACATTTTTAAGGAATAAAAAGCTAATATAAGGACATGGAGTGTTATGAAGCATGAAGTTCTATAAATATTTATGCTGAACTATCAAAAAAACTTGACAGTTCTTATTTTCTTGACAGATTGGGGTCACTTGTTATTTTTGACCCTGAGAATTGAAGAGCACATGGAGTTAGATCTGTTTGTAATGACTTTTGGATATTGTCTGGTAAACCTGTAGGAATGCAACAGGATAACAGACTTTTTCTTGGGTCTTTTTGTGAAAATGGAACTTAAACCTTGTACCATGTTACCCACAAATTCCCACTGAAGTTACTGTCTCTGTGCAATCCTGACAGTGAGTTCTTGAACTTTCTTTGGCACTAGCGGCTTTCTGAGTTAGCAGTTCGGTTTGCCACTTGAGCTGGACAGCTTTCACCTAGGTTGCTTTTGACTGGAAGTACTCAGTGATTACGTTTACGTGTACACAGCGTGTTCCTGAGCCCAGTACAGGATGGGATTGGCGAAGGCTGAGAATCTGGCAAAGGCCCACAGTGTCTCCAGAGTTTTGCCACCAGTCCCAGCACTGCTTTAAGTACCCCTGGGGCCAACTGAAGCCAAACTTTTTTTAAAAGTTTAAGTGCTGATAAACAGGCATTTTCTAGAGAGATGAGAGGCTTGTAACTCTCTGACACTTCAGGGTCTTCATTCCTCCAAATTATGTGCACACAAGCTTAATTCCTACCTGAAGCTGTAGTGGCAGCTGAATGTTTTAAAGGCAGGTCTGGCTGCCTCTGAAAGCTGGAGTTTTGTGGCAGCAGCCACCTCATTACATCCAGCTGCAGGGACTTTTCTTGCCTAGTAAATTCATTGTGTAGGAAGGACTCAATCCAGTGCTTTGTCTTGAATGAAATCCAGTGTGTGTTTCAAGATAAACGATTATATTGTGTGTATCTAAAGCTAACCAGTGTGTCTCTTGCTGTCAGTCACTAGAGGGCACAAAGGAACTATACCTAGGAAAGAAGTTTGTTCAAGGCCTGAATCTTCAGTTTAGATCTGTGACAGCAGGGGGGTGGAAATTCCTGTGGCTGCCAAAAGACAGGATGGCTTTGGAATTTTGGTTTCATTTGTGATTTTTCCCACCGAAATCTACTTCTGGTTTGGAAATGAAAAATTTTATTTTTCTGGTAGTACAATTTTGTGTTCAGGAAGTACATAGCTCTCATCAAATACATCAGCTGCTCATAAAGAGATTTTAAATTCAACTCATAGAATTACAAAAATTATTGCCTTCTTTCTCAGGTTTATGACTTGCAACAATCTCCAAATGTGTCTATGTGAAGAGTAAGGTAGCAAAAGGAATTGCTCTCTGAATGTACGGTTCTTTTGCAGGTTGCGTGCCTCATACGGGTTCCATCTGAGGTTGTCAAGCAAAGGGCCCAGGTCTCTCCTTCCTCGAGTACCCTCCGGATTCTCTCCCACACCTTGTATCATGAGGTGAGTTCAGAGCAAAATTTCAGAGAAATAGCTTCATTCTTCCCACTCAGTGTGATACGTGTCCAGCTCTGGTTCTGTGCTCTCCCAGCACTTTCCCATCTATTCTTCTGTTGTTAAAAGCAATGGGCGTTTTATGTTTAAGGAAACCAAACCTCCACCTTGCCCATGTGCATGCACTTACATGCACACTCTAAACAACTCTTTTTCACCTTCTTTATATATGGGGTACCTACATTTAAAAAAAAAAAAAAAAAAGGGATTTAACTTTCCAGTTTCCAAAGCTCTACTTACATTTATGCAAACAGTCCTTGTCTGGGACAACAGACCATTGCGTCTCTGTAACTAGAGTTTGCTGATTGGTTTCCAGTTTTTCAAGCAGGCTTTGAAGAAGATGTCCTAAAGGCACCATTTCAGAGAGGCTCTTTAGGAGCTCTGGAAATGCTCATCCAGTATTGGTGACTTTTAAAAAATAGGGGCTTTTGTCATCTTTTCAGCAGTTATACTGTTCCTTCCTGTAAAAACTTATTCACCACTGTTTTTACTGAGTCTCACAAGGGGTGTTTTTCAAGTTTTATTCCATAAGAGAAAGTGGCTCCTGAAAATGTGGTGGGGAAAAATATTATACACATTTCTGGGTGTAAAAGCCAGGAAAAGGAAGACATAAATATGACCTTTAAATGATCCACTTGATTTTTATTTGCTTGTAAATGAAAACTATTGTGATAATTTTCAAGAGTGCATAGTGCACAAGAGGGTCACTGGAACTTCTTTCTGTGATTTGGTCATTCTGCTCTAAAAGCTGGTGCTCTCAAAACCATATGTTTTCACCTTCTTTGTAGCAGGGCAGAGAACTGTAAGCATAAACTGTTCTATAAGATATTAAACATAATTTTATATACACTTATAAAATAAAATTTTAATTGTTTTGAATGTTATTCGCTGGTTAAAAATACAAAATATTATTCTTGATAAAAGCTTGGAATTAGGGCTAAAAGGTGGACATAGAAAGCTGTCATCCTATGAGTTCATACTGCATGGGCTATTTAAACAAAAGAGTAGTAGTTTCAAAATATTTTTGAGATAGTGGATAATTCTAGGGCAAAGTATTGGGCGGGTAGAGTTTGAAGTAATGTGCTTCTGTGCCTTCTTGCCATTTTAATTTTTACTGTAAGGTATGTTTTCTTGTCTAAAACGGATTATTCTGAACAGTGGTTAAATGATCTTTGAAATGAACTAAAAACCTTTGGCATTATAAATCATGGAATACAGTATACAACATTATAATCAATATAGTCAATTTGCAAGAAGTTCAGGTCTGACACTCAGTAAGGCTGTAATGCTTGCCTCATAATCACCGATAAATTGTGTTGTTTGGCAAACTAATTCCCTTTAGCTGATGCTTTCTTTTGTTGGTTTACAGGGTATTCAAGGACTTTATCGGGGTTATAAAAGCACAGTATTAAGAGAGGTAAAACACTTTGTCTTTCTTTTTTTTTTTTTTTTTTTTTTATTGATTCCTTTGCCTTACTTTGTTCTCTGACAAGAGATAGTAGTACAATTGAGATCAATTGCTCTAATCATAAGCTCTAAATCCTAGCATGTTTCGTTCTAGGTAAGTTACTAGTCTGTAATTTGAATAGAATGTTGATAATGTGCATGAAGAAAACCTGTGATACATGGAAGAAGTCATCTACCATCCTCTTGCTCAGTTCTGTTGCTGCTAAATCATAAAAGGATGGAAATGAATATGTTAACATGATGAAAACCATACAATAAAGTACGGGAAACTTCCTCAAGTCTTGTGATTGCATCATGTGAAGTATGTATGCCAACAATGGTGAACTGGTGGCATCAGCCCAAGTTTGGCACAGACAGATTTAGGCTTTCTTTAAATATATTTGTCAGCAGATGCCAAGAGATTATCTGTCAACTGTGTATAGGGAGGATTGTGCTCTCCCTTTTTCTTTTTTTTTTTTTTTGAATGTGTGAAAGAAACGCATTTAGTCATCCAGTCTGTAGATGTGATATGGCATTACTTAACTCTAAATCAGAAATACTTCACTGTTGGAAAAAAACCCTGGAGCTAAAAATATTTTGGCCTGCTTGGCAGAAAACAGTTCCTAAACTAAAATCTCTTCATAAATGTATTTTGAATTACAGGATTAGTGTCATGGAAGTGTTTGATATGCTGTGTGAACTGAAGGCAGATTATAAAAGAAGTAGAAAAACATATTGATGAACTCCCAGCCTAAAACTGTTTCAGAATCAGATCCCTGGAGGTCATCTTTTGACAAAGAAGTTGCACTTTGTGTACCTCAAATAAAAACATGAGACTTGATTCCTATGAAAACATAACAGCTATTTTTCCGGTGTTCAATGGTATATGTGTGCGTTCATCCCCCCTAAGTCAACTGAGTAATCTAGGTTTGGATCTTTGATTCTTTTGTTTTTTAAACACAGGGTCAGGTATGTTGGTTGTGTTGCCATTGAAAATAAAGCCATGTGCAGAGGCTTTTTAACCCTTCATTCAATAGCTTTACTTTTAAAAGCCTTTCTTCCTGCTGAAAACTGTTTTTAGGACAGCTATGATAGCCAGCTCTTTTTACAGTTACAGAAAAAAAGATGGTTATTACCTAAAATAAGAAATACCCAACTTAGTATTCTTTAAAATGCAGACAAATGATAATGCACTGCAGACTATTTTAGCAGGTTTAAGTGTTTAAAAAATTAGTTATTTGTGCAGAGATGACACCTGCTTTTCTGAAATGTAACTCCCACCATAGCTTTGTCCTGTACTTATTTTCTGGCTCAATAAACACATGCTATTCACTCAGATTTCATTTGGAGACAGGCAAAAAAGGCCAACGAATCATTTTGATTTCTCTGAGGAGTTCTGAATAAATGAATAAATTTAGATCCCATTGAATATTGATTTTTTGCATACTAACAGGTAGCTAAAACACATGGTTACTACTGGGTGCTATTCTCCTTAAAATTTGTTTTGACATATGTCAGGGTGGTAATTAATTTGCAGACCATATTCATGGCATAGTGTGTGACCCCGCTGAGATAACTTTGTTTACTCAAAATGGCAGCGCTTTGTTGGAAATTTAATGGGGGTCTTCTACATTATGTATATTCATAAAAGATCTTTCAGAACTGATTTCAGTTGAAGTATTGCTTTTTGGGAGAATCTGTCCAATAGAATGAGAAATAAATGATTACCAAATGAAATGTGCATTCTCTTCAAAGTGAAACAAATCATAGGTGATGTTTTAAAAGAAATAATCTTTGAATTTAACACTGATAAGACCATTGAGTTTTTGTGATATGGAATATTGTAAAGCAACGTCCACTCGAGTAAGAACAGCATATTGAACCTTCAGCTGTAACTGTTGTAAGCCTGACATTTAATCTTGGTATTTTCCCTTCTCTTTAAGTACACCTCTTCCTTTAGAGAAAGTTTTTATTTTAATATAAAAATCGATATTAATTCATTATTGGACACATCCAGGTACCTGCATAGCATGTATAGACTGATATTTAATTCCAGCTTACTTTTATACTTACAGAGTTTGTTTACATGCTTTGGTTCTTGACTTACACAAACCTCTTTGTTTAGTTACAGTGGAGTAGGAGTTTTGGATAGAGGGGCTTCAATGCATGATTTTTCATTAAAAAAAAAAAATAATTGGAAGAAGCTGGGAATATTTATGCTTTTCAGATGACTCTTGCACTAGCAAAATTCTTGAGCCAGAATTTAATTTAATTTTAGTTGTTGCATTGGAATAAAATTTTGCATGTTACGTAAAGCAGATTTCAGTGCCTGGGCAGAGATATGTTTGTCAATTGCTTGGACCCAAGTGAAAATGAGCCTGATTATTTGTAAAGGAAGTGCAATGTTGAAACCTCGTCTTTTTACTATAGTATAGTAGATCTTTTCAAGACAGCCTTACTCTGTTCCATGTAACTTGCGTTAGCTGCTGTGCTGCTTCTCTTCTGGTGCCAAGGTAGTTGCTTCATCCCTCATTTTTGATTCTCAGTCTTTCACTTATCCCCTTTTATCTTCTCATCAGAGTACTTTCTGTACAGGTGAATATTAGAAGAGAAAAAAAGATGGCTAAATATGTAATGCTTTGGGAAATTACTTTCTTCGAGTGAACCTCAGTGCTTGGAAGTTTTGGCTGTGGCTATTTCACCTACCTCCATTTTGGTGGTTTTTCTCTCACATCTCCATTACGTTTTGGTCTTTACATATTCCTTTGATGTAGTTACACCGAACTAATCCTAAAATCAAAAGGGAAATGAGGTACGGTGCATTGTTCTGTTGGCAAAAGTAGCCTGAAAGAGACATCCGTGCTCCAAGAGGAAAGCTTTTGTGATAAGGCACAAAGTGGGAGTACGGTTATTAGGTTGCTGAATGAGACTTCGAATAAATGGCAGAAATTGGAGGCTGTGAAATGGTGTGGAATTCCCATGATGTCATTTCCAAAGGAAATCCAAGTGTGAATTGTCTTTTCCTATGGTTGTAGTATATCAGTGTGCAGCGACGTGGAAAGTGGATCATGCTACTAAGAATAATCAGTGAACAGGTAAATTTATTCCTGTTTTCTACAACAGAGACAAGTTCATTTGTAAAATCTCCAGCCATCTTATAACAAGGCAGGAGCAGACTATAAATCCACTGTAAATCCTCTAGAATTTCTTAATGGGAATGTAGTTCTGCTGCTGAGATCTCATATAAGGAAGTGGAGCCAGATTTTTAATTCCTGCATAATTCATTTTATTAACTATGACCAAGTAGAACATCTGTTAAAATTCCATAATGTTCAGTTCATGGGAAAAAGAGAGAAGCCCCTGAGTTCCTGCTGGAGCTTTTCCATTTCCATTAATGTTACAGGACTCTAGCAGATGTCTTAAAGGAGATTATTATGAATGAGAGGACAACACAAAAGAAAATGAGGTGCCTTGTCCAGTTTCCCTGTGTACAGTAGCTTGCTGTACAATGAGTTACTTCACCCTCTCTGAGTCTGTATGCAGGTTGCAGCGTTTCACAAGCAGTGCCATGGTTAACTGTGGTGTCCCTTCTGTCGTGAGTTACCACAGTTTGGAAAAACTGAGTGAGTTTCAAGTGGGTGTTCTGTGTGTTTTTCATCTAATTTGTCACTTAAAAAAATATTGCAGATGGACTGGGTCATAGCCCAGAAGTAGATTCAAAAGGAGCTAAAATTAATATTAAACTCTTGCTTAAAGACAAAGAGCTTGAAGGATGACTGGCTCTGTATAATTCTCAGAAGTCTTGAAAGGAGATGGAGAATTGCTTTCAAATGTCAGCCTTTGCTGTGCAGGTAGCCCTGACTAAGCTCCTCTGTGTGGTATTGTTGACTTTTCTGAGACAATTCAGGCTCTCTGCTTGTGGTGACCTCCATTCAGGTAGAGGTGGTAATGATGCTTTGCTTCACAACGGTGTTTCAGAGCTCTGAATTTGAAAGAAAACTACTGATAAATCTGAACCGACTCTTGTACAGCATGCTATTGATCTTACCTTGGTGAGATGGCCGAGTCGTCACTTCTGGGAGTCACAGTTTTTTAAGTTAGTACAGCTGTGGGTTGGTTTGGGGTCTCTTTGTGTTTTTTCCCTTCAGTGTACACAAGTCAGAGCCCTGTGTGGACAAAGACAGCTACTGCTGTCCTGGGAGGGAGAGAGCATCCCATGATCTATTAATTTTGGGGAGGAGAGGGACAGCTAGTTCAAAGTGTGCTGTTGGATTAGTGAGTGGCAGCAGTGTGACAGGCAACAAATTCGGGCTCTTCTCAATCTCAGAGAGCCAAAAAGTGATAGTATGTCCTGAGAGGGAGGTGCTGTTTGTATGTATGCTGCAGAATTCATGTTCTGTTATAATGTCTGTATCAAAAGCAATACGGAGGATATGCAGTGCAGCCTATGCAGATGAAAAATGAGCTAGCAGAAAAAAGACCAACAAAAAAACCCCTTCTTAAATTACTACCTGGGAGAGGGAATCTAAAACAATTAGCAGCAAAATGGGTCTTAAAGGCACACCTGCTGCATTTTCCTAAATTTAAAGGGTCAGTGAACAAAGGATGCTGAGAAGGGTTTTATAAAAATGTGAAACCCAGCTGAGGTACGTTGATCCTGTTGACTGAGGGAGGGGATCTCTGAGCTCAATAGGGAACAGTCTGCAAACAGGGAGCCTGGTTTGTTTATCCACTAGAGGTAGTTTTGCATGCTTTTCTTTTGTTAGGACATCTTTATATAAATATCCTGTTCTCCTAGCTGTTAGAGGTTTTTTTTTTAAGTTTATCTCTGTTGCGGTAGGACAGAAAGAATGTTATTAATACATTCTTTTACTTGCACAATTAAAACTTTGATCTTCTATCATACTCTCTGTATTGCAGAGCAGATGTCGATAGAAATAGGCAAACAGGACACTATCTTAGTACAATATT